AATAGTTTCCCTAGTGTAAGAAATGATAACAATACATAAAAGTATGTGGTAATCATGATTCCCCATTATATTGCTTTGAAACCTTACAATGTTTTCATTCATTAATTATAATGGTTTTATTCTGGACTGTTTGATTTTATTGTCTGTGATGGTATGAACAGTGATTTTGGAGAAAACAAGACATCATAATAGGTAGTGCTGATTTAATATCATCTTGTTTTGAAGTCCCATCATGCTTTTGTTCTTCTGTCTCCATCAGTCTTAACATGTTGTATCTTATTGGATTTTATTACATGTGATAATATAAACAATACTTTTATAGACCAGGAGATAATACATAAACCATTGTTCATTTTCTATTAATTGGTTCTAAATATCCTGTAATACTGTCATTCTGTTGAATGGTTTTACATTATCTTGATATGTTTGATGCTACAGTATATGAAGTTATACTCAAGTATTTCAAGGAAAGAGACACTGTGGTAACAACTTTTATGGCGGGATATCTTGTGGTGAAACACTCTGTTGCTTAAATGGCTCTTTTCTGACCTGTGCTGTTTTGTTATGTCCTATTTTATCTCAATCTCCTTTTTTTATTATTTTTTATTTTTATCTTTTTAAGGGAAAAATAAATAAAAAATAGCAGGTATATTGTAGTAACTCACTTTGATTTCCTATTAACTTGATTTGAAACCCTGTATTGCTCTCACCATCTTGTTTTGACTGATTTTACTCTATTCTGTTTTGCTTGATAGTACCAAGTTTGAGAGTATAGGCAACAACTTTGAAAGCAGTAAGATTCACTATGATGCCCATTCTGGCTTGACTATTATCTTCTGTTGAAGTCCTGTAATGTCTCCAATGTTTTGGTTTTGTTTTTTACTTCAATTTTATTATAACTGATGATATAAGCAATTCTTTTTAATATAGCAAGAGGCATTATGGTAACCATTGTTGATCACCTTGTATTCTGTTTTTACATCATGTACTATGACCATCCTTTTGATTTGACTGACTCTGTTTTGCTTTGTCACATTTGGTTTTATTCTCTTAAAAAAAAGTAATAAGAACTGTGGGAGTAATAAAACCCAAAATGTGTAATTGTCATTGTAAAAAAGAGAGGAAAAGAAAGTGCTCTAAAGGATACAACTGCAAGTGTGTTTAGGTGTGTAAGATAGATAACCATATTACTGAGTTTTGTTGGATCATTGAACAGAACTGTTTGCAGTCTCACTGTTTGAATGTCCACTTTATATGCTTTAATTTTGTAACTTGAACAACTATTTCTAAGAGGACAATATGCAATTTACTAACTATTGATTTCCTACTGTTTATTTTTTTTGAAATTCTGTATAACTTGTACCCTTTTTCTGTTTTTTTCTCCTTAAATAAAATTAAAAAAAAAGAAAATGAATGCTTAATATTCACACAGATCTGTATTTAAATTGTATGCTTTGTCTTGGGAAAACGAGTTCAGTTTCCTTCTAACATACACTTTCCTGATGTGCTATGTTATAATTATATACATGAAGGGTTTTAGCACAAAAGCATTGTTCAATGAATATTAAGATTGATGTCTTTCTTCTCTATTTCTTTTTCTAGTGTCCCTCTGGGTTTGATTTACCATTTTCAAAATGTGCAAACAGTACTAATTTGTGCATTCTGTGCATATTACTACCTACCTACAAGTAGCTAGCTGTACTTTGCCCGAATTCTTGGAATCAGTAGGACCATTGACAGCCAGTGCTTAGCTCAAATATAGGATATATATACTTATCAAGGGATAGTTTTTCTTTTGAGGTCATTAAATGTCTTGAAGTAGCACATTACATAAATATACATATAGATTCAATAACTTACTTATTTCAGAGATAATTTATTTGTATCATAATTGTAATTATAATTCTGTTCGACAGATTTATTATTTTGAGTGGACCTAATGAGCTTCTGGATGTGGTCAAGTCTGTCCAGCAGATGCGTACAGAGCAGACATGTGAGTCACAGCTTCCCCTGTCTGCCGTAGAGAAGTGCAGGAACGAGTCAATCATATTGAAGTTCTTGGGTGACTGTATTAAAAGACTGACTCCTCTGGTATTCTCATGCAAATCATTCTTCTTGCTTTCTAGTCTTGAAAATGTTCAGTTGTCTTCATTTTGTCATACAATCACCCATGAATAACTAACACTGCCTGTTTTCTTTCTGATTCAGAAAAAGCCCCACCATCTCATTTCTAGAGAATAAATACCAAATAGCTTTGTCCTTTTTTCAGAGTGTCAAAGAGACAAATTACTAAATATATACATGGCAAACAATTTAGTTTTGAACCTATCATTTATTTTTCTCTAAAAAAATTCTTCTTGGTGTCCCTGGCTATGTTGACTTCATTCCAAGCCTTCACACATCGCTCTTTATAGCTCCATTGTGAACCTGGGTCTTGAGACGCAGAACTTTAACAGTGAAGCCTGGAAACAGTGATTTGAGTATTCTAATTTTCTTTTTTCCCCCTTTAAAACTCGTCTCTGACGACTACATGATGAAGGCTTTTATAAGTGGCCGACATCACTCTGTTTCTCACCACTGGCAAGAGTAGGCAGCATCTCAGATGGCAGCACTGGCTGTGTGTATGTATGTGTGTGCTAATTTACCCACAGGCTCATTTGTGACAAAGTTAGAGGACTGAACAAAATAAGTATGAATTTTTTAGAGGATTGGATAACCTCTCCCCCAAATGTTCCATTTTTAAAAAGAGTAATTCAATCACCAGATCTCCCACATTTTTCTCGTCTTACATGTTACATGTGTGTGTATGACACCCACATAGTGGAGCCCCACTAAGAAACCCATTGACAGAATAAGTGGCTTGCTCCCCTGATTCTCCACCCAGTCAATGTATTTTAGTTACGTGCCTCGCAGCTTTGGTACTGCGCACTTAAAATTTTCTTTCTCCCCTAATTCTATCTGTTTCCTGGGTTTGTCCTCCACACAGATAATCTGCTATTAGGGTTACCCAACTATGAAAACGTGATCTGAATAGTAGAATATAATACTCTTTAATTTGCAAAATAAAATGTATTTTTATACATCCGGTTGCACATACAAGTTGTGCTGTGTTCTAGAAAGATGGAATATACAGTGTTGTAGGATTTTATAATCTTAATTATAAATGAAAACTTAAATGACCTTGGCTCACTTTCAGCAAAAATCTAGCTTTTAGAACACTTAGAACTCTGCAACATGAACTCTAACTGTATGGGAGTCTTAAAAATTTAAACCTTCAGGGAAATTGAACTCAAATAGTGGGAGTAATTGTTCTTCAGAAAGCCTGAGGACTAAAAAGAAGTAACTGTCTACATAGTAGCTGAAACATTGTACAAAGGAGAGATCAATTGTGAGAAACATGTTATGGTAAGAAACATTTGTGCTGGTATTTAACTCTTGGACTCATACCTAAGAAACTCCTTATATCATTAATAATTTGATTTATCTCATGATTCCTACACACATGTTATCATTTATTTGAAATCTACCTAGAGAATTTAAGAGAATGTGAAGGCTTCAAGCTCCAGAATATTCGTGGTACACTGAATTTTGCCTTGCTTGGTTCATAGGTCTTGACTGGACTTTCCAGCATTCAGATAAGCCTCGAGATAAACCAGAGACTCCCGTTGAGATAATTATCTTTAAATCCTTTGTCCTTTACTGAAGGGAAAAGAAGCTGTAACTTGCATAAAGTCAGACAAGACCAACTGAGCAGACCCAGGATTCCTGGCTCAGTTTTTCTGCTGCGACTGGGTTACAGGAAAAGAGGTTCTAGCTGGGTAGGAAGATGTCCCATAATGCGTTAGCTCCATGAACACCCTGGTGTTAAATACCAAAAAACAAGAACAGAATTAAGTTTGGTGTGTATATTATTGAAGGGAAAAGATGGAAATTGTCTTTGGAAGTCACATGCAACTAATCAGAGAACAGAGAAATTTTGTCTTATTTCATATTTACTGGATGAATATTCACTGGCCATCAAACTTGAGGAAAAGCTTAGTTACAGTATTAATGTTACCATTTCAGAGTGAAATTTTAAAAGTTACTGATGTTTCTTTCAGAGATGTCATTATCAGTATGGATTAAACTTCAATATTATAAAATGTTATAGAAATTATGAAGTGTATGAAGATATTATTTTTCTGTAGTTCATTTCAGAGATACAAGGAAAATATTTCTTATCCCCCAGTTGCTTTTCTCCATCGTCTCCTTGGTATCTAAAGTGATTGCCTTCAGTTTCTGCCTTTTAGGTGTAGCTCATGCTGGACAGCTGAAGAGACGTCAAGGGCAGGCAATGATTTATCAGCTTTAATTAATTTAAATTAATAAATTCTTACCTACTGTAAGATGAGATTCTACTAGATGGTAGAGACTGATAAATGCACATAGGATAAGTAATTTTAATGCAAGCAATAAAAAGAGTCTGGTGAAGGGAATCAAGATGAGGAAAAGGGGAAGCAAAAATTTTTCTTTTCAAATGAGAAGCATTCACAGAAAGAATTGTAAAAATTGATGAGTGAAATATTGCCTATCCCATAATTAGAGTTTGGTTGATGACCAATCATTGATAGAGATGTTAGCATCCTTCTTTTGAATAGCAACATGGTTATAACAGCAATATGCTACTTTAAAAGTTACCACATGCAGCTTAACCGATCTGATCTAAGCTCCTCTGTTGGTTAGCTAGGACGGGCACCAGGGACTCCCTTCAAGACAAGGTAAGTGAAGTGCAGGACTTTTTCTTTGTTTCTTTCAGAAGGCCTTGTAGAAACTGGAAACTGAATCGTAACTATAAAACTAATTCAATTAGGTGGGTCTTAGCTCTATGACATGGCTGAGTTCAAGAGGCATAGATATTTTATTCTCAGGGTATCAGATCATTACTTTGCGTTCCAAGCCTGATGACCTGGAAGATTTTGGGCAATTTCCTTTAGTAGACACATCTATGAATGCACACAAAATTGCATTTTTTTTGAGTGTACTTTATTTACAATTAGTTGTTCATTCTTGAAATATTTTAGAATCTTGATTAAAATCAGTACATAAAATAATTTTCACTGTATTTGTTACATATGCCACAGAATAATTTAACACTGTATAAACGCTTCAATGATGCACAAATGGGAAAAGCACCCTTTGCTAAAAGCAGTATGATTTTAGTTCAACTTGGCTATCGTGACACTTTAAAAATGACCAGGAGGTGGCGCTGTAGCCAAGTAGATTATGTGTACTTTAAACTGAAATTTTCCTTAACTACTGCATTTAATTTCTTTCTTAGGTGTAGATGAATCTACTGATCAACTGAAAGTTGGTTAGGAGTGAGTCCTTTATTGTGGACTATTCCACTCGGGTGAGGCGTTTACTTAAAAAGCCATTATAGTCAAGAAGTTCCCCAGACTAAGCAAAGGGCTCAAAAATCAGTCTCTATATCTGGACTATTGTTTTTATCATCTTTATAGAATTGTACTAAAGCTTTTCCACAAAATTAGAGCAAATTCCAGTTTATTTAAAGAATAAAATTGTTACACTTTAACCTCCTTTAATGGAAGGTCATAGGAATATTAGAACATGAATTCACATTTAGCCAACATGATATAAACATGCACACGTGTACATAGTGAACGTTTCACTGGCTTGCTCTTCTTCCATATAAATATATAAATACTGAACAAAGTGCATGGAAACCTGTCTGTACATATATACAGCTATGCACTTATGTATATACACTTAAGTAAATACTTATGGAACAAAAAAACCACAGTCACACTTGTAGTATATGTTTAATAAGAAGACATTTGTCAGGCAATATTTACTTTCACTCTGATTCAGACTGAATCTATGGGGGTAGAATCTGTGATCTTTTCTTGAAGTATAATGAAATGTGCAAAGTTATAAACTAAGGCAAAATACATTAGAGCAGAGACTTTTTAATATTTATATTTTCATCATCTTGAATGATATTGTCATCAAGAGTAGTTCAGCTGAAATGGAACTTTGGTATTAGTAGCATATTAAAGATTCTAGCTGTGAAATAGTGAACCATCTTTCAAACTATATGCATAAGGGCATAATTAAGTCAGCCCCATTACATTTCCAAATTGCATAATGATGGTTTCCACTTTGTTTAATTTTCAAATCTGCATTTTTTTCCAAAGGCTTAAGGTAAAAACTACTTCATACCCAACAGACACGCATCAGCGTTGTAATCATATAGCTAATATCGAGTCCAGTAAAACTGTGCAATTTAACCTTAAATATTACAAGGTTAAGGTAGATTAACTACTTTTTATCTTTTTCTCTCTTTAGTAACAATTCCTATAAAATTTATCTGCTTCTTTAAATTAGGGAATCCAGTGTCAAAAATACTAAAATAAGTGCATTTTTAGAGGAATGAAACAAAAATCTTGTTCAAAACTTTCATAGTTATAACAGATCCAGGTTGAGGAGCAGATTAATTGGAAAATATTTGCTGTCCAGAGATATTTACCCTCTTTCTTGCTTGCTTGGCATTTGTTGGTAACCAATCAGGAAACCTTGCTAAAGAAACTACCTTCAGAGCCAAAACAAACCTGTGTCTGAACAAGGATATACATTGAATTGACTTTCAAAATAAGTCTCTTTATATATATATATATATTTTTTTTTTTGAGAAAATCCATTTCAGTTTAGTCATTTTCTTTAACGGCAAAGATCTTACTATGATTACTTTTATATCCCTAGTACCTAGAAAGTTGCCCCACTCATAAATATATACTCAGTAGATGATTATGGAGCTAAGCTAAATCATTTCAATAAAAAATATAAATATATTGATATAAAGACTTCAGTTGACGCGATGAGTGTCAATAGGAAAGTCACCTACTTTGCACAGAAATTTCCTAAGAGTTCATACTGTTAGTAGCCAGAACCTGAGTTTATTTTTCAACCCTGATGCAGTTACATTAACATACTCTTTACCATTCAAAGGAGCTTATGCTCCATACAGTAACTTTTACAGCGAGTTACAGATACCTCTCTGCTACTGTTTAAAAGAAGCAATCTCTAGACATGTATTTGGCAATGTTAAATTATCCTTTTGCTAGTTTACATAGAAGAACAAATATTAACAAGACCACATTGGAAATTGAGAGTAAAGCACAAGTTTGTTTTCCTAGAGATGCCGTACAGTAGTTGGCATCTTTCTTAGAATTCTTTTTCTGTCCTATTTAGAGTTGACTAGACTTGTAAGATGTAATAGTGTGCACTAAAGTTAACTGCAAAGGTTTTTGTTTTTCTTGTACAGACACTGAATATACTGTGAAGAGAAAGCAGCAATTGGTTTTCAAAATATTTAAAATCTTTTCCACTCCTGATAATTAACTTGAAATGCAGTAACCTCCAGCAACCTCATAAATATTTAAAAATGGCATCTATGAAAAAAGCAAGAATGAAAGTGCTGTTGAATATTTAATTTGATTATCTTAGCAATACACATTTCATAGTATTATCTTTACTATCTTTTTTTCAAAATATATGTCATTGCAAATTTTAAAGAGCATTGGCCTTTATTTAAGAGGCCATTATATTAAATAAAAATTTCATTATTTACAGTTATTTTTATTTACAGCATTAGGTAAGCAACACAATCCCATGCCTTCAACAGAAACAGCAAGATTTCCATTTGATAATAGAGTTAGATTAGATTTATTTAGGGCCTCATAATCATTGCACAATAAAAGCTAAAGTTTCTAAAGACATCATTTAGAACATTAAAAATACCACGAAGCTCACATCTGAAACGTGGTCAGAACATTTTGAAGTGCATGTCTTGTGGCATTTAGCCCTGTTTCCACTGACAGAATACACTGAACCACAGAAACATTATTTTCAGTTCTGTTAATTTTTTCCAATCCCTTATTTTTTCTTCCCCCAGATTGATGAACTCTACTTTGGTGTGCCCTCCACAGTTGTCATGGCAACCAGTCCCTCACACACAGCTAACCGTTTCATTCGTGGTGTGGATATTGTCTGTACACACATCTTCTGAGTGTTGCTCTCCTAGAGATACCATAGAGCAGTCATTATCTGTGGTCTCGGTATCTTTCTTAGAATTCTTTTTTTGTCCCATTTGGAGCTGACTGGACTTGTAAGCCAAAGCCGGTATAGTGTTCACCAAAATCAGCTGCAAGGGCTTTTTGTTTTCCTTGTACTGACATTGAATATACCGTGCAAAGGCTGACCTGTAGGTTTTATTGAACAGTGTATAGACGAGGGGATTGACTGCTGAGGAGAGGTACCCGATCCAAACAAACACATTGAGCAGGGCTCCGATGACGTCTTCATTACAGGACTCTTTGCAGATGACAGCCATGATGTTCGTGACGAAGAATGGGCACCACATCACCACAAACAAGAAGAAGACGATGCCCAGCACCTTGCAAGCTTTCTGCTCATTGCTGATGGACTGCATAGTCCTCCTGCCGGCATAGGATCCAGTTTCCCTGTGGATTGACCTTTGGAAGAGCTTTTCTGAAGACAGGGAACTCTGAGGCAGGAAGCTGAAAGAAGATAATTTGGCCCGTGTGCCAGGATCGCTCACACACAGAGTAGCTTCTTTCTGAAGTGACTTGATAGTTAAAAAGTAGGTGATCACCATGATGGTTAAGGGAATGAAAAATGCCACGAAAGAACCAATCAGTACAAAGTTATCATCAGCAAGTAGGCAACTCCCCTCCTTAAAGACCTTGGAATCATCCTGCAGCCCAAAGACTGGAACGGGCATGGATATACCTGCACAGAGATAGAAAATGGAAAAGCATTATTAAAGAAGTGAGCTCTCTTTCTCTCTGTTCTCTCTCTCTCTCTCTCTCTCTCTCTCTCTCTCTCTCTCTCACACACACACACACACACACACGTGCACACACACAGAATTGAGCTCACAAAGACAAGTACATTGACACACAATTGTGGCTGTTGCAAGGATTTTGTGTCAATTTTGTTTAAATACCTAATATATGCTTTCAAAGGAAATTTATATTCTATTGGACTTATTTGTCTTATATGTATGTGTTAAATAGCTCATTATGTGTTATATTTCTCTAAGCAGTCTTTTTACCTATAAAGATTATGATAAATCTAACTTTCCTCTTTTCATGTCACATTTTTCTGATTATTACAGTTTATTTATTAATTGCAGAAACATAAGCAAAGAAACACAAAATAAAATGACCATCATCTAGACCATCATCTAGAAATAACTGGCATTAACAATTTGATGCTGTTTATTTTAAATACACATACATATTGTGTGCACATGTTGTAAATAGAACTGGGATTCTGCTTCATATACAGTTCTTCAAACTTTTTCCCCACCTAACACTATATCATGAACATAGCTTATATATAAAAACTTTGTAAAATTATAAACATAGTATATTTTCTTTTTGCCAAGTTTGGAAAATACAAAAATGTAATAAAAAGGTAAAATAAGATATATTCTCAGTAGCTGAGGTCAACCATAACTTACATTTCTTCTTCCATTTCTATATGAAATGCATGTATGAAATATGATAAGATGGTAATGAGAAAATTTAAAATATGTATAACAGTAAAAGGCATATTGCCATAACCCGACCTCTGATACTGTCCCTCGCTAGAACATATGTATCCCACAGCACTTGCCATTTTCTGAAGGAATTCTACAAGTCTTCTTTGGTGAATGTCTTTAGTTATGCTACCATGGCTGCCTCCATATCCTGAATCAATTCAAAACATTTACATTTTGATAATTTTGAATTTAAGGAAAATCAAAAAATCACAAAGTGTGCCCCACTCACTGAAAAGGTGGCTAAGGATGAACCATGCTGTTTGTATGATCCTGCCTTTCCATCAATAGCATTCTGCAGCTGTGTTCACTGTATTTTTGATCACCACTCAGAAAGACACTCATGAAAGCCAACTTCCAGCACTACTTCAGAAAAAGGCAAGAATGTTGGGGTAAGTGTGTCTGAGGGGGTCTAATGACAATCTGTCTTTCACTGTAATAAACCTTTTAAAGTTTAAACATTCACTTATATTTTGACATGTACTTTTCTTGTACTTTTAAGTCTTCTTGTTCCATTTAATATTAAATCATCAAGTTACATATATTTTAAAGGACTTTGAAACACATGATTTTCTGCTATTAGTTTAGAGTAATTCTAACCAAATTGGATACTTTTAAAAGACATTTTGTGATAGAAACATTTTACCATATGCAACCTCCCAAAGAACAACAGAAAAGCTCATCATACTAAACCTCTCATCCGGCTTACATAACTATCCACCAAAGACCAATTCTGTTTTACCCATACGCCCACCTCTACCACTCCTGTAATGTTATTTTGAAGCAAATCTCAGATGTAATATTCAATCTGTTAATACTTCATCATCTATATCTAAATCTATATCTGTATCTATATCTATTAGTGCATTTTTAGAAATACCTCATGTCAACATCATTCTCATTCTTAAATAGAAATTTAATATTTCTTTAATATCATTAAATATAGTCATACAATTCAAATGCTGCATAAAAGTCATTATATGTTTTTAGTAGTACCATATTCACGAGGAAGATTTACAAAAAACAAGGCAGCCACAGATTTTTTTCTCTTATTGATCGATCTAAGAGGCACAGAACATGACAATACATGGAGGCATGGGCCAATAGGGGCTCTGCCACTGAAATTTGGGGGATCTGTAAAGCTTCTCCAGACAGAGGACTTGGGAAGAGGAAGGCTAGAAATGAAAAAAGATGACACTTTGCTTGTGGTAATGCTAATTTTCTCCACTAGGATAGGACCTTATTTAATGGACATTCAACTAACTGTCTTGTGCATTTTGGACCCTTTCTGAAGTTCGGGAGACACCAAAGAGGTTGAGTCTTTCTGTGCAGGCTGTATTTCCCCTGGGTAGTCTCTGTTCATGGTTCTGGCTTGGGACTGTTGAGGTAACCAAGGTAATCAGGAGATGTCTTGCTTTTTCTACCATAAATAATCATGGCTATGAGAGAGAATGGTTATCAACCGTTTAACTTAGTTCCAAGTTACTTCTTTTTCAAAAGTGTAGACATCTGTGGTGATGGATAGAGTCAAAATAGATACACTGAAGCCTCTCCCAAGGGAAAATGAAGTGTGGACATCTTAGGGACAACTTGAGAGGGAGGATGAGAAAGAGGTTTCCTTCTCACTCCTGCCTATGTTCTTAGTTCTCCTGAGCAGTATAACAGAAAGTGTCCTGGTATTGGTTCTCACCACTCTGTAGAGTCTAAGATGTGATCTCATGACAGCCAAGAACTCTAATTCTTTGCAGAGTCTTGAGTCACTCTGATTCTTGTCATACACGAGGAAGAGGTTCATTCAAGGATGTACATTCTAAGACTTCTGTAGACAGAACAGAGTTCAACTCCATCAAACCGCAGGCACTGACTGTCCTGACCCATGTCACTTTACCCTGACCATCATGGCAGGAGGGAGCATTAGATTTGCCTATTGCAATGTTTAATACAAATTCTTCATGGTGGCATTTGTCATTATTGTTAGTTTTAGATGACAGTATTTGTTACTCTTCTAGCCAAGGCCAATATTCTTTGAAGGGAGTGATCAAATGATGCCAGTGCTATGCGTAAGGGCATTTATCACAGCTAATGACTTCATTTCCCTCATTCCCCTTTGACTCTGACCCATCCTTGGGAACATTTTGTGGGCGAAGAGTTATGGCTCCAAGAGGAACATCTCTGAGACCCCGCAAACCACTACTTCTGCTTTTCCTTCATAAGTCTCTTGATTGTAAAAGATAAAGTGTGCTTTCCAAGAAGAGTAGTCTTCCTTCCAGTGTTTGAAAGATGTTCCCAGTATTCATCCCCAGTCTCCCTGGTGCAGTTTCACTGATTAGAATGGATGCATTTCATATCAGCTTAAAACAGCCCTTGATAGGAGTCTTGGATGTGGTTCTGAGCTCCTGGACCAAACATTTCATCTTTGTGATGCTCACTTCTTTATCTATAGTATGATACAGGCACTGATGTACCTTTAAGAAGGTGGAGATGTGGAAACAATGAATCCGATACAGAGAGTGCCCAGAACAGTGCCTAGTCAAAAGGTGATGCTCTAACAATGTTAGCCAAACATGGAGTAACTTTCTCTGGAGAGTTATCCAGATAAAATATATCAACATTATTTTATTTTAATCTATTTTGCTTAGTTTGCCCATACAAGATGTTATGTAATAGATTTTTAAAAATCAAAAGAAACTAAAAAACTGTTTTTGGCTATTTGCTACATAACAGTGATGTCATTCGTAGTTTCTGCCAGGGTGAGATAGGGTCTCAATCAATTTTAATTCGGTACAGCTAGCACTGTTGATTCCTTTTCTAATGTGATGAATTGCAGTCGTTGCTATTAGTCATGATACACATAAACAGAATATCAACTGTCAAAAAAAGGTATTTTAAAAAGCATTTTAAAATGGTATTTTTAAAAGTCCTGGGTATGCATTTTCCTGATTAATGCAAAGGAAGTTGCTACCTTGAAAACCTTTTTCCCTTTTTGTTTGCTAACTCATAATTTATAACGTGGTAAGTTTCATTTGAACAGAACATGGTTTACCTAGAATATCAAATTCTTCAACTCTTTAGAATTCAGAACTGTGTCCTGCTTAAGAAAGCATGTACAACCCCCCCCCCCCACACACACACTCCAGAATAGCTCAATTCCAGTTTCTGCAGCCAGGGAATGTGTTGAGCCATTTGCACTGATGCAGAGAATCCCTCTCTTAGGGGTCTGGAATGAACACCATTCTAAAAGGAGAATGTAGTAAGAGGTTATGATATGATTGTTGTGTGTCTGGAAAAGAGACTGACCTAACGGGGGAGAATCAAGCTGTCAGGTCTTTAAATGGCACATTATTCTTTAGATTTAACAAAAATATCCTGATACTGTGGTACCGTATAACATTCTTTTTCAGTGCCTCACTCATACTAAGTGGTCAGCAAGGGTTTGTCAAAAGGCCATCCAGAAAGTTAAAGCAATAATTTATAAAGAGAGGAAGAAATTTTGTCAAAGAACTAGAACATTTAGAAAGGCTTTGTGGGCACACTACATTTCAAACTTACGCTCCTACCAAGAGATGAAGACACTGGCTGATATCCAAGATTATGGTCACAGCCAACTCTAAGGCATTAATTTTCTGGCTGCTTTGTTTGATAATAACTGCTTTTGGTGACCTGACATCTCCTCTCCTTTGAAAGTTTTGCATAGGAAGCATTTTCCTTTATGAACAAACAGAAAGTAGCTTGAACTGTGTGACTTTGCATTTTGTTTAATATTTTTTTTTATGAGAAGTGGAAAACAACAGTCACAATTCACTATTGGAACTGGATCCTTCATGCATATTTTTATTTTTCTTTCTATTAAAACTCAGACAATGAAACAAAAGGAAAACACTGACACCAAAGAGCCCAAGGCTTTGATGTGGCGCCTTTCTTCTAGCAGAGCTCGGCTTGTACTCTGCCTTTACAGTTTACACCTCTAATTAATGTCTCACCACAGGATGGATGAAGGACCTTAACTGAGCCCAGAGCTGCAGAGGATGGCTTTAGCTTTAATCCTAGACTTCCACATTTTAATATTTTAGGATTAATGGCATTTCTGGGACAAAGAGTTTTCCTTAGAGGAACAGAAGGGGGCCTTCCTAGGCAGCAAGGCTTCTATAGGGAATGGGACGGAGGGAGTCCTGGGGTGTCCTGTGAA